GCCTCCAAAGAAGGAGCCTCCACCACACTCCAGGGCAGAGATTTCCACAGCTGAACAGCTCTCACATCAGGAAGTTCTTCCTAATGTTCAGATGTAATATCCTTTCTTGTATTTATTATGGTCGCTTATACCCCTCCCTTCTCACCCCGAGGGGGACTCAGGGCGGCTTACATAACAAGGCACAATTCGATGCCGCATTACATGACAACAAAAACATAACATCAATAACAATAGCAATTATAGCAATGATAACAATTAACATAAGCAATCATTATTATCGGCAAAACATCCAAAAAATCCATAAAAGCGATTAAAACAATTAAAACAATAAAAGCAATACAAACCTCATTGCTGGTCAGCGTTTAACAGACTCATAGTTTAGGTTCTATTTTCCGCACATTGTCAGTCCTATCCATCTGGATTCCATATCTAATTGTCAGGATTCCCAAAGGCCTGGTCCCATAGCCACGTCTTTACCTTTCTCCTGAAGGCAAGGAGGGATGTTGATGTCCTGATTTCCCCCGGGAGTGAGTTCCACAGGTGGGGGGCCACCACTGAGAAGACCCTGCTCCTCGTCCCCACCAGCCTCATTTGTGATAGTGGTGGGGTCGAGAGCAGGGCCTCCCCAGATGATCTCAAATTCCGGGGTGGGACGTAGAGGGAGATACGTTCGGACAGATACACTGGACCGGAACCGTAAAGGGTTTTGTAGGTCAAAACCAGCACCTTGAATTGTGCTCGGAACTGAATTGGCAGCCAGTGGAGCTGACACAGCAGGGGGTGGTGTGTTCCCTGTATGTCGCTCCGGTGAGCAGTCTGGCTGCCGCTCGTTGGACCAGTTGAAGTTTCCGAACAGTCTTCAAGGGCAACCCCACGTAGAGTGCGTTGCAGTAGTCAATACGGGATGTAACAAGAGCGTGGACCACTGTGGCCAGATCAGACTTCCCGAGGTACGGGCGCAACTGGTGCACAAGTTTTAATTGCGCAAAAGCTCTCCCGGCCACCGCTGGGACCTGAGGCTCCAGGCTCCAGGCTCAGTTCTTCCTAATGTTCAAGTGGATTCTCATTTCCCGTAATTTGAAGCCATTGTTTCACATCCTAGTCTCCAGGACAGCAGAAAACAAGCTTGCTCCCTCCTCCCTATGGCTTCCCCTCACATATTTATACATGGCCATCATCATGTTTCCTCTCAGCCTTCTCTTCTACAGGCTGAACATGCCCAGCTCTTTAAGCCACTTCTCATAGGGCTTGTTCTCCAGACCCTTGATCATTTTAGTTGTCCTCCTCTGGACATATTCCAGCTTGTCAACATCTCCCTTCAATTGTGGTGCCCAGAATTGGACACAGTATTCCGGGTGTGGTCTAACCAAGGCAGAATAGAGGGGGTAGCATGACTTCCCTGGATCTCTAGACACTATACTCCTATTGATGCAGGCCAAAATCCCATTGGCTTTTTTAGCTGACACAACATATTGTTGGCTCATGTTTAACTTGTTGTCCATGAGGATTCCAGGATCTTTTTCACATGTATCGTTCTCGAGCCACATGTCCCCCATTCTATATCTTTGCATTTCATTTTTTCTGCCTAAGTGGAGTATCTTGCATTTGTTACTGCTGAACTTCATTTTGTTAGTTTTGGCACATCTCTCTAATCTATTAAGATCGTTTTGAATTCTGCTCCGATCTTCTGGAGTATTGGCTATTCCTCCCAAGTTGGTGTTGTCTGCAAACTTGATGATCATGGCTTCAAACCCTTCATCTAAGTAGTTAATAGATTAGAGAGGGTTCAGAGATGATTTGCCCAAGGTCACCCAGTAAGTTTCCATTGCTCAGTGAGAATTTAAATTTCCTATTCTGATGCTCAGACTCCTGGGACATGCTAGCTCTCAAACAAACCTCTCCTCAGGTTTTAAAAAGAAGCTTCCTTCTTCAGTTGTACTGGTGGGATCGTTTGTGATGATAACAGCACTGAAATTTCAAGTTGTGTGTATGGCTTTTGTTTTTGTTTTATATGAGCCTGTCCATTCCCTGAATTGCAATTTCTTTTGTTTTATGTGATTCTAGCCTGTTTCTCTGCTCCCATTATGTCTGATAATCAAACAGGGTGGAGATTCCTTACCTTCCCATCTGCAATCTCGACAGTGACTTTGCCATCGACAGCTTCTTTTATCTCGGCTTCAACGTACGCTACTTTATCATTTGGAATCCAGCATTTCTTCTTCCCTAGGAAACAAAAGGATTCCTTCACGGTAATTCAAACACATTCATAATTTACAAACATCCTCTACATCACAATAATAATGATTTGATGTAAAGATGCTTAATTTCATACAAGACTGTTTTTCTAACTTCTCAAAGAATGCTATGGGTCCAGTAACGCCCCCAAAAAAAAAACCCAGCAAGGTAAGAAAGTATTTTATCATCATATTGGGAACTTGTATAAGTTTGTTTGTGGACTTCATGTTATTTTTATTTTTAGTATGGCTGGAGGACTTTTGGTGTTGTAGCACAAAAAAAGTATTGCTTCCAAGCTCTGCCATACCTTCAAACATTTCACAGATGAAAAATGGGATACGTGTGACCAAGTAACATTGGAGCGTGTGTTAAGATAAAAGAAGTTCTTAATACGGAAGCAAGCTCAAGCTAGGGGAGGCTGCAGTGGTCTGCTTATGATTTTGGGTCAATTTAAAATTAATACAGATGTGGAATCCTGGGATGTTTAGTTTGGTGAGACATGAAGACTCTTTTGCAAAGATCTTGTAAAACTACAACTCCCTTTTTTGTGTTAGGAGTGGCTTGAGAAACTGCAAGTCACTTCTAGTGTGAGAGAATTGGCTGCCTGCAAGGACATTGCCCAAGGGATGCCCGGATGTTTTGATGTTTTACTTCTCTGATGTCCCCACATGGGGAGCTGGAGCTGACAGAGGGAGCTCATCCACGCTCTGCCCTGATTCGAACCTCTGACCTGTTGGTCTTCAGTCCCGCTGGCACAAGGGCACTGAGCCATAGCAGTTAAAGTGGAGTCAAAGTGCATCCATTTTATTATGTTGATGCAGCCATAGTTTACTAGGACAAGATTCAGCCTTTAATTCTCCTCTGTTCCCTGCTGATTTAGAGCAACTCTACACTATAATCCATCTTGGAACTGGTTTGGAAGAAACTGGTTTTGTTGCCAGAGGGCCCTTCCATACTGCCCCCTGATCCCAGGGTCTGATCCCAGATTATCTGTTTATCCCAGGTTATCTGGCAGTGTGAACTCATATATTCCAGTTTAAAGCAGATCATTTGGGAACAGAACCTG